TTCTTATAAATTAAAGATCCTAATCGTCACCTCAATATACTAGGAACCTATTTCCTCAAACTCTCAAGACTTTCTATAATCGTCGATCCACAAATCGAATAACTTCAAAATCGCCTTGGAACTATTTGATCCTATCGCACACCTCTCTTGTTCACTGCTACGAAGCTCACCAAAGCTCGTTGCTATCAGGAGTTCACCTCGCTCATCTTCACTTGAGACTCGGGATTTATAGTGTGAGGTGACGTCACAATTCTGAATGAGATCACTTTCCTCATTTACATACTTAACACTAACAATAAACTTTTTTCGTTTGTCTGGCAGCCTATTTTCCGACAATACTCTCTAACCTTTTACATTATTCTTTTTCACAATTTTCGGGACGTTTTTATTCTTTAAGGTTTAGCGAGTCCCTAATTTGTGCTTGTGGGGTCTCCCCCCTTTTCTCGGTGTGGACTTACTTTTTTTTGCTCGGGAAGCGCAAGTGTGTGCAAGTTTTTCTATGGCGCTTTTCTTTCGTCGGTGAGTTGGTTTCTCTTCTATTTTTAAATTCCTAAGGTGAATGGTGAGGAAATCTTTGTCCTAACTAAACATAAGCCTTAAACAAAAATATAATAAAAGCAAAATAAAAAGTAAATAAAAATAATGCACGGACTTGGTTCCTTACACTTTCACTAAATGCAACTGAAACTGGCAATGTAAGTAATATTCTTAGAGCTATTGCTATGTTTGGAAATGTGGAAATTAGGTCATTGGTAAAAAGATATTGTAATAGGGTTTGTGGATTATTAGACTGGTTTTCTGGAAAATGCAACTTTAAAGCATTGATTTCATTAAATAAATCAATACCGTCAATGTCTGTTTCACCACTTGAATCGTCTTTAAGCTTCAGATTTAAATCTTTACAATGTTTCATTAATTCATCATTGGAGTAATTAAATAAGTTATTGCTAAAAAAGCCAAATACATCTGTAAATGGTTTTAACTCTTCGAATCTATCCTTTAAAGAAGTTAATGTCTGATCTAGGATTCTAAAAAAAAAACTCTACTTAGTATTTGATTTTGGGGTCTAGTAAAACTTCATCACTATGTTCATATTGAATTTGTGTTGGTTTTCTTCTTGGACGAATTGTGTTTATTGGTGGAAAATCTGTTTCTACGTTGAGTTCGTGAGCCACATTGCTAGCTTCTTCTAACACCCTTTCAAAGTGTTCATCCATGCGATATTCTGTGAACTTATCAACCAACTTATTTAACAAATTTATGCAAATTTGAGTATTTATTATGGGACTTTGCATCATTTTGCTCAGAGCATTAATTTCGTTTAAAATATCAAACCAAATTTCAATCGAGCAAATAAATCTATAATTTTGGATGTTCAAAGCAAGCGAATGAGCTTTGTAAGATGTAGTACAAACCCATTCCGACGAATTATCAGATATTTCCAGCAAAGCATCAAATATTTTTTCGAGGTGATACCATAATGGTTTGACTGCATCGATTCTGCTTGACCACAGCGTGGCACTTAAAGCTTTTAATTTGAAATCTGGTAAATGTTTGACAATTATCGACCACCTTTTTGTAGACGATGAAAAGAAAATGTAAATTTCTTGAATTATATTTAAAAAATTCACAGTTTCGTGCGTAATATTTGCTGCATCATTGACTACTAAATTGAGACTATGAGCTGAGCATGGAACGTAAAATGCGCGATTATTCATTTCCAAAATTTTTTTTTTGCAATCCATTGCGTTTTCCACGCATATTAGAACCATTATCGTAACATTGACCGTGTAAGTTTTGAATGTTGAGATTTAAATGTGAAAATAAATCCAAAACAAAATTTAATAGACCTTCACCTGTGGAGCTGGTGATTGGACAGAAACCAACGAAATTTTCGCATATCGCAACATTTTTAGTTTCATTGTTTAAAAGAACATGCCTGAGTACAACTGTAATTTGTTCTGTGTGACTTGCATCTGGTGTGCAATCTAATATGATGGAGAAATATTTTGCTTTTCTGACTTTGTCCAGTATATAATTTTTTATGGTTGTGCCGAGTAAATCAATGACTTCATTCTGAATTTGATCTCCTAAATAATGAGTCATATGACTCGAATCAGATTTCGAGGATTGAATTCTGTGAATATGTTCCCACATGACTGAATCAANTATTAGTTATTTATTTATTCACGTATTTTAGAGTTTAATTTATTTTGTTTTTGCTTAGTTATCTTGTTGTATATATTTTTTGTTGTTTTATTTATTCATTTATCTAATAATGTCTTATGTTTGTTATTGTGATATTTTAAAATTTTTATTATTTGTTTTGGCACAGCTTAGCCTACATGGCTCTTGTGCCAAAAAAACTAAAACAAACCAAACCAATCAAGGACCCAGCTTTAAAGCAGATCTATGGATGACACCGGTGTTATGGTGGTAAAGGATGAAAGCTGCCCCAACATCTGCTAGATTATTTGATTTATCAGTATAGATGGAGAAGTTGCTGTCAACATCTTCACTTAAGTAGTTGTCACGAAGAGTAGGATAATTTTCATAATAGTCGGAATCTGCCAGCTTGTGCTCGATGCCAAAGTTAGCGATGTCGCTCTTTATGTGGTCCGGAAAAACAGAGAGAATGTTATTATGACCATTACTGCTGTTGGAAACTTTGCCATTCATTTTGTTATAGATATTCCAGTTCAAAATAGCCATCCTGGCTTTGATATACACTGGAAGAAGGTTTGCAATGGCAAGCAGGGCTGAAGTAGGAGCCGTTCTGTATGCTATACAAATACGTAGAGCGGCAATCTTCTGTGCCTTTAGGAGTTTGCGTTGAATGTGCACTGTTTGGGTGGCCGCTGATCAGATAGGTGCAGCATACAAAAGAATAGGCTCTATGGCCCCCAGGTAGATATAATGTGCCGTATTATAACATGTTTTTTGCGATACTGATCAGAGCATTAGACACCTGAACAGCTTTGGCACTCACCATGTCTACGTTTTTAATCCATTAGAGTTGCTGCTCGAGAACAATTCCAAGATAAGTGAAGTTAGTTACTCTCGGAATTTGATGCCGATCTATAAGAATCCTAGGACTTTTCTGGAGTGGTGTTTTTTTCGAGAATATGATATATGTGCACTTGTAATAGTTGATTGGGAGGTTAACACTTTTACTCCAATTGGAAACCTTTTAAAGTAAATTATTACAGAGGACAGGTAGTTTTCTGCTGTTCTTGTTTGACATGAGAATCACTGTGTCGTCTGCGTACCCTTGCAAAAGCTGGTTTCATGGTCCATTGAGAATTGTTAGGAGGTCATTGTGAACAACTGTCCACAAGCCAGGGCGGCAATTGAACCCTGTGGGCAACCTTTGGTAACACGATGGCTGTAACTAAAGTTGTTGGTGTACCAGCCTTACTGCCTTTCATTTACGAAACTACTCATTAGGTTGTATAAGTTGCGGGGACAGTTATAAGCCTGCAGTTGATGGAGAATCGTTGGCCACCAGAGATTATCGAATGCTTCACAAAAGTCAGTAGACACAAGGAGCATGTGTTTACCTTCTTTTTTGGCGGAACTGATGTATTCGATAATGTTGGATAGAGCAGTAGTAGTGGATTTTCCAGGTGTGAATCCATGCTTGTGGAGACTTAAAATATTATTTTTCCTCAAATAATTTAAAATCCCATTGCTGACCAGCCTATCAAGAATTTTCCCTATCACGGGAAGGAGGCTAATAGGCCTGAAATCCTTCGGGTATTTTGGAATATCATTAGACCTCTTTTGAATGAATTTAACAGATGCTTTTTTCCAGTCATCAGGGAAGTATTCAAGAGAAAGGCAGTGATTGTACAGTGTAACAAAAGTAGTAGGAATTGCATCATATGCCTCCCTGATCATCTTTCCAGTAACCTGATCAATGCCTGAGCTTTTCTGATTTTAATAAGTTTAATAGCATGGGATACTTCATTATATGTGAATGGTCTGTCGTCCTGGTCATTTGATGCCACACAGCAGCTGCTGCGCAATTCTCGCTGGGTGTCAGTATCAAGATCAGAGTCGTCAAATGGGAAGTGATAGTTGAAGAGCTCTTTTATAGTACATGCTAGAGAGTTGGTGTAAGTGCCCTCCGTCGTAAGTACCGTAGAGGGAATTTCCGCCTTGTTTTTCTTCTTAAACGCAATATAATACGGCTTGCTCCAAGCGGTGTTGAAGCAGCTGCAGTAACTTCTCCATGATTGGTGTCTTTTACGATTTATTAAGGTTTTATAGTCATTAAATTTGATGATGTAGTTGGCCCTCTGAATTCCCCTTATGTTACCATCTCTTTGTCTCTGATATGTTCTACGTAGCTTACGTACTTCCTTTCGACAAAGATCAAGTTCATTATTTAACCAAGGGACTTTTGTATTCTTTCTGTTTTTCTTACAGCTTGCCCAGTAGTACCTATGGAGTATGGCCTTAGTCAGGTCAGAAACACACTGGTCAATTCCATCTTCTTTCATACCTGTAATAGGAGAATCTGTGACCCAGTTGTTTTGTAGCAGGTGCTTGTAAGTGGGCCAGTGGGTACAGCTATAGGTGGTAATATCATCGTTCCTATTGATTTCAATGTTTAGTTCAATTTTAACATAACGATGATCACTGGAACTCGGCTCTTCCATAGTTGAGCAGTAATTAATCATGGGAGCCATGTGAGCATTAGCTAACGTGACATCCACCCAGCTTTCTCCCCTAGAAGAAAAATAAGTGGGGAGAGGACTGGTGTTGCAGGATGTCAGTTGAAGAGCCGCTATCAGTTCAAGTATGTGATAGTCCCTCGGATCTTTTATGGGACTATGCCATAGGAAAGATTTAGCATTGGGATCACCATAGATAAGCCATGGATGGTCAATAATTTTGTTATTGACGTTGTCAAGGTACTCTAACAAAGACTCAATGTTTTCAAACAGCGAGCAGTAGATAGAAGAAATATAGATGACCTTGTTCTGAGCGTCTACCGTATCGGTTATAACATAGTGAGTTGAGAGATGTGGCATGAACTGAGCAGTTAGGCTAGTATCTCTTATAAGGATGGCCATTTTGATGTAATCATTAAAACCTCTGGGAGGGATAATATTCCAGCTGCTGTAATGTGTAAGATAGCCGTTAAAAAGGTACGGTTCCTGGACCACAATGATACAATTTATGACTGCAATAAATAATGTCACATGTTCGTTCCTAGAATTTCTCTCTTTGTTCTTCTTTCAAATACTTGGAGAAATTCTCACTCATCTTGCTTTTCAGTAGACACATTTTCCAGTGCGCTCTTAGAAATATTATCTAGATAAAATTTATCCAGTAATTTTCAAGTAAGTTTTTTAAGAAATATATTGTTTTTGGAGAATAGCGAATAATTGTTTTATTACGTGTTAGATAAATATAACAGGCTTTTAGAGAATTTTTTATTGGCAGAATGTCATCGGAATCTGATTCTGATTATTCACAGCTATCTGAAAGCATGTCAGATAGCTATGGCAGCGAATGCGAGGTGTCCGATAATGATGATAGTGGAAGCACCTCCTCCACAACTTGGTGTGATGTCAGCACAGATAACCCTTCTGCAGCTCCTTTGCTATTTCCCTTTCAGGGAACTCCAGGATGCCCCTACACTCTGGATAATTTCTTTGATCCTCTCGTGCATTTTTTATTTTTTGATTTAAATATTATGACGTTAATAGTAATGGAAACGATCCGCTTCTCGATGCAACAGGCACGGGCATCAACAGATACATGGGAGCCAGTATCTATGGAAGAAATGTATATATTTATAACAATATGTACGAGAGCTGTTCAAAAAGTTCATGGCCTTGCCTATATGCGGCGCTGCAATCAATTTAATTTATGGCGGGAATAATTCAGCCATTCTTGCTAAAGATACGATACCAATTTCCGCTTGATTTGTCGTAAAGTTTTGCCACGACAGCTTAGCAGATAGTCAATGTGCACATGCTTTGTCAAAAATGGAGAAGACGGAGACTCGTGCGGTCATAAAATACCTGACGAAAAAAGGGTTGACCGCATCTTAAATCAAAGCTGACATGGATGAAGTTTTGGGAGAGTCTGCTCCTTCGTAAACCACTGTGAAAAAATGGACAGCCCTTTTTAAATCTGGCAGAGAGAGTGTGAAACATGACCCTCGCAGCGGACGGCC